GCGGCGGGAGGGGGCGGGCAGGGCCATGGCCCCGGGGGGCCCCTAGTGCGGGCCGGCCCAGCGGGAGCCGCTCCGCAGCCGCAGCAGCCGCTCGGGCGCCCAGGCCCTGCCGCCGCAGAAGAGGTGAGCGCAACGGGAACCGGGAGGGAGCGGGCAGGCGGCTGGGCCACCCTGCGGACCCTCTGGGACCGCGGCACTGCAACTCCGTAGAAGTGTCCTGGGAGTGGGTCTAGGCTAACCAGGGGGCTGCCCATAGACTCAGGGACGACAGGACTGGGGTGGGCTCCCTACCTGTCCAGGCGGCCCAGACCCCTTAGCTGCGGGGCAGCGCGGGGATGTGTGGAGGATGTGGCCTGCGGGGTCAGCAGTGTGTAAAGCAACTTTTTCCCTCCCCTCTGCAAGGTTCTGGGAGGATGGGTGCTCCCATATCCCCTCACCCTCACACTTCTGGAGCGGGAGTCCCAATCTCCCTCCCCGTCCCAGCTCTCTCTGTCACCAGTGCCTGGGGCAGCCGTCTTCCCTTGTAGGTGTGCCTGCCCTGCCTCAGTGTCCCTATAGGAGGACACAGTCAGCCCAAAGGAAAGGGGGCACTGGCAGCCCTCACGTGGGGGTCCTCCCAGATCAGCCAGAGCAGGAGGACCACCAGTCTCCCAGCTGCCACCTTGGGTTTGCTTTTGCATCAGGGAGTCCTGCCTGGATGAGGGGCCCGGTGTAGGTGGCTGCGAGCCTGCAGTCAAGCCCAGTCTGACCCAGGACCCGCAGTGGAGAAGTGGCCATGGGTCAGAGGGGGTCTGTAAGCTTGGAGCAGGTGACACGGGAGGGTGTAGAGGCGGCCCCGGGAGCGAGGCAGTGCTGGCAGAGGAGTCTGCTTGAGCTAGGGCTCAGGGCCCAGCTGGACCCATCACCCTGGTCCTTGAGAGAGCTGTTTAGCCCTGGGGAGGCGGGAACTGAAGGCACCAGTGTGGAGCTGGACCAGGTCAGGGACCCTGGCCTCCTGAATTCACCCAGACTGTCTCCCAGCTGCTGAGACAGGAAAACTGCACCAGAGCCTGGGGAGCCTCGTCCCAGCGCAGAGGTCTGGATGGAGCTGGGCCTGTTCCCAGGCGCCCTGGGGGGTGTGCCTGGGCCCGGTGGGTACAGTGTCCGTGCTTAGCTTAGTGAGGGCACAGGCATGCCTACCCCTGCTGCTCCCCCTCAGCTCCGAGGGAGCCAGGCCCGGAAGTGCGGAGGTGGGGGCCAGAGAAGCAAGCAGCCTCGCCCCCACTGCTCCGCATACCTTGGGGGGGATGGAGCCAAGACCAGGTGACCTTGACTGGGAAACCCTGGCCACAAAAGGGGGATTTCAGTCCCAGCTACGCTGGGGTGGCTCTGCTTCCTGGTCCATGAGGCGTTGGGGGAGGGGGACGCCAAGGCGCCAGGAAGGCGCTCTTGTTGGGGGGGTGTCTGAGGCACTGGTTGGCGGGTGGGGTGCTGTTAATAATCTCCTCTTGATGCTCCCCCAGAGCTCCTGATCCTGCCCCCTCCCAGCCAGGCAGCTCTCAGCTCAGAGGAGCCAACCTCCCTTCCCTGAGGCCAGCTGCCCCCCCCAAGCCTGGGAGGTCTGGATGGCCGACACTTTGGCCACCTGGCCCCCTGGTCTCGCCCCCAGGTGCCTGCGGACCCCTTGCTCTGGCCGCCCCTTCCCTGCACCCCTTGCCAGCCCCAGCTCCTCCGTTCTTTGTTTGAGCGCCTCTCCTCCGTCCCTCCCTCTCTCCTCCCTCTCCTCCTCCCTCCCGCCTGCCTCCCTCCCTTGCTCCCTCCCGCCAGCCTCCTTTCCCTCCTTTGCTCTCCTCCTGGTGGGCTCCCAGGTGGCGGTGGCTGTTCCTCCTCTGTCCACCCACCTGGGCTTGGTCTGACTTGGGGGCTGGAGCTGAATGGAAGGCTGGCAGAGGGGAAGGGACGGTAGGAAAGCACACCCCTTCTTTCTGGTCCCTCTGCTCTTCCTCTCCCTTCTCTCCTCCACCCCCTAGGCTGCCAAGAGGGGCCTGGCCTTGGGCTGGAAGCCCCAGCATCCCCCACTCTCCTCTTTAAAGGGCTGGGCATTGTGGGAACCCCCCCCCTTCCTGGATACCTTGGTTGACACCAGCTGTGTCCTTGGTGACCCTGACCTTGTCACTAGGAAAATGGATGAATTAAAACTGAGGTCACAAGGAGACAGGTTAATAGAAACCCCTGATACTTGGGATCAAAGCCCTCCCAGGGACTGAAGCACCTCCAGTCTCCCCCCACGCCAGGACTCCCAGCTCCCCTGAGCCCCACCCACCAGCAGGTCAAGTTCTTGAGCAAACTCAGCCTGTAAGGACGTGTGTGGGCATGCGAGTGTGGACGTGTGGATCCACCACTGTCGGGGAGTGCCTGCCAGGTGCACCCCAGGGAGACGGTGGCTGCACAGCCTTCCTCCCACCGCCCCCCTGGTCAGAGCTGCCATCAGTCAGCACCCTCTGGGTGCCCCAGAAGAGAGGTGAAGGGACCAGTGCTGCTCTCCGCTCCCCCAGCCAGCCTCCTAGGAAGGAGGGCGCATCCGTGCTGTGCTGGGGGGATCTCGAGGGGTGCCTGTACTCAGGAGAGGGTGCTCCCAGAGGGCTCCAGGAGGAGCAGACAGGGAGGCCTGAAGCTACACTTCCTGTCTGAGGGACCATGAGTGGTTGGCCTGGGCAGGGTCAAGGGCAGGGGTCTGGGGAGGGCACCAGTGGCTGTTGATTGGGCCAAAGAGGCAGACGTGGAGCCTGGGTTGCCTCCGCACTGGGTCATGGCAGGGGATAAAGGCCACAGTTCTCCGACCCCCACCCCAGAGTCCTAGGAATGGCCCTCGGGTCCTACCTCCTATGGAGAAGGGAATAGACAGGGCAGATCTGGGGGACGGGGCTCCCACGCCTGTTCCTGATGCCCCCAGCCCCAGCGCATCGGCGGGGTGGGGTGGGAATTGGCGCTGCCTTGCGCAGGGGGAGGGAGCAATATGTTCTGACAACTGGTGCTGGGCTGCGTTTACCCAACAGCCAGCCTGCCTGGGGAGACAATATTTGACAAACACAGTATCGAAACTTGGACCTGCTGAGGATGTGGGGGCTCTGGAGGGGACAGTGGAGCTGGCTCAGATTCTGGCCCAGGCCCACTGGCCAGCCTGGCCCTCCTCCTTCAAGCTCTAGAAGCAGAGCTGGAACTTTTCCCGGGCAGGAAGTCCTTCTGCCCGTCTGACCTGGGTCCTTCCTGCTTTGATCTCAGTAAGCGTGGGTGCTGCTGCTCTCTGCCTCTCCTTTTCTGACTGGTGCTAGCTTTCTTCCTCTTCGGTGGTTGCACGTGTCCCTTCAGCCCCCTACTCTCTCCCAGGCCTCCCCTCCATCCTAGTCATTAGGTTCAGAATTCCCAGCTTTGAGAGGAGCAGGATAGACCCCATCTCTTCCCCCACTCTCAAGGTGAAGAGAGGAGCACCCCGCTTTGGCAGAGGTGCAGAGGGAGAGCCTGCTGGGAACCCAGAAGGCCTGCAAGACTGCAGGCTTTGGCTGGGCCCACTGACTAGAATTCCGGAGGTTGTGGGGACAGGTGTGGGTCTCCAGTGGTTCCCATTAGCTCTGGTGACCCGAGCCTGCCCACCATTGCGTGGTCTTCAGGCCCACTGGAGATACCTCCCCGATAAAGCCAGGCCAAAGAACAGGAGTGAGCGAGGCTGGCACCCTGGGCCTAAGCGTGGAGACACCCATCACCCTTCTTGTTTAGGTGGGGAAACCAAGTACCTGGGGCAGGAAGCGAAAAGGGAAGTCTTGGCAGGACGGCCCCAGTCTGTCTCGTCCTTTCTAATCTTGGTCCCCCTTCCCAGGTGTCAGAGCGGAGCTGCTTCCTGGGCCCTAGGCCCCTCCCACAATGCTGGTCGCTGGTCTCCTCCTCTGGGCTTCCCTACTGACAGGGGCCTGGCCAGCCATCCCCAACCAGGACCTCCCAGCCACGCCCCGTGTCCGGCTCTCGTTTAAAGGTAAGAGGCTGCCCTGGTCTTCTCCGGGTATCAACTCTTACAGCACTTGGCTCCACTGCACAGGAGAGAAAGGGGAGCCTGAGGCCGACAAGGGACAAAACAGAGCCAGCCTTGGCGGCACAGGTGGTAGGGCACTGGCGTGTGATGCTGGCGCCATGTGGGAAGCCGTGGGTTTGGGTCGTCGCCTGACCTGAACATGCAGTGTGCACCCACGATCCCAGCAGGCTGGAAGGCGGTCGGCGTCCTGGCACGAGCAGGCCCTGTCAAGGACGCGCCCCCCCTCAGTAAATAAAGAATGGGGACAAATCGTGCAGCCCTGTGGGTCGCCCTCTTGTGAGAGGGCTGTGGAGCAGGGGGGATGGTGGCGTGTTGAGAAAGGCTGTCACTTAGACATTGTGGGAAAAAGTCCTGATCTGACCAATGTGCGTCCCTGGACTAGGGGACCTGGGTCTGCCCGGGACTCTGTGTGATAACTGGGAGCTTGGGATGTCGCCCCTTTTAGACTCGTGTTTGCCACTGCTATGCATCTGGGGCCCCCGGGGCCTCAGGAGGCTGGAAGAGCAGGCCTGCTCTGCTGAGGTGTGGGTGCTTGAGGCTCCTTCCTCTGGGTGTCCGAAGAGGGGCTTCTGGAACCCGGGAGGGTGCTGTCGGCCGTGCCTGGTGGGTTCAGGGAGAGTGCGTCCTCTTGGAGACCCAACTCCCGAGGTCTCAGTGAGCACGTGTCTGGGAAGTGCTGGCAGGTCTCACAGGTTGGGGTCTGAGGATGACAGGCTGGTCTGGTCCCCTTTGCCCTTGACCCGGTGGACAGGTGGACACACATGATCGCATGGCAAGACTACACGTGTCCATAGGAGTAGGGATGGCCCGCTCATTCGCGGCTTGCTGCAGGTGGTGGTGGGGGGGTGGTCAGGCCCACCTACCCCAAGGCTGGGGCCTGGGGGACCTGCAGGTCACTGCTGAGCTCTCCGCCTTGGTCGAGTCTGGCTAGAGGTCACTTGGTCCAGCCGCCTGCCCTGGGTGGGGCCAGCTCCATCCTGGTTGGCCATATTGGGGTGAAAGGCTGGGCCGAGCTTTCCTTCCGTGGCTTGGCTGTGTCCTCCCCTCACCCCCTCGGCCCACCTCCGCAACTGGAAGGGAGGAGTGGCTCCATCCCGACTTCTGGTGTTTCCGAGGCTGCCCTGGAAGGAACGTTGTGCCGGCTGGGCCGAGAGGGCAGAGAGGAGTTAAGTGGTGTGGGTGGAGAAGCACCCCCTCTTCCAGGCCCGGGAAGGTGAGCTATTTATTCTGCTGATACTCCACCCTTCCCGGTGGAATTCCTCAGAACAGATGAATAAATCTGGAAGGGGCGGGACCCTGGGGTGGTGTCTCCTCTCCTGACCTGACAGGACAGGAGGGCTGGCCTGATCTCCACACCCCCAGGACCCTCCATTCCAGGTGTCGTTTTTGTCACCCATGCAAGGAAGTAGGAGGGGCTAGACTTCCGGGTGACCCTCTGCCTGCCCCTTTGAACCCCCTGAGACCTGCAGGGGCACAGCGGCAAAGACATCGTCCCTGTTTTCTGGAAAGAGAAACTGAGGCTCAGGGCAGGGTGGGGCCAAGGTCAGGCAGGAGCCAAAGCCAAGGCCAGAAATAGAACCCTGGTGTCCTGGCCTTGCCGGCGCCCACATCACGTCGGGTCGATTCCTCTCAATTAGCTCCGAAGCCGACACCCGCGGTGACTAAAAGCCGCGCTTGCTTGCTGTTGGCAGCCGGCCTAGGGTGCTGACTGCTGTGCGGCCCAGGGTGGGGCTGGAGGACGCCTGGGGCCACCCTAGCCCAGCCTCTGTGCCTCTGTACACACACGTCCCCTGCCCTGCAGGACCTTCCCTGTCCCCACCTGCCCTGTGTCCTGCTTTTAGGCTAGATGTCACCTCCCTTTAGTGACATCTTCGAGCACCTGCTGTGTGCTGAGCTTGGGGGGCTCTGCAGGACAAGATGAGGTGCTCCCAGTCGAGCTGGCTGAGACCGTGGGTGCTTGGGTACGTGGGGGCCAGTCAGTGCCACCGAGGAGCCCAGCACTGACTGTACCAGGCCTGGGTGGTCTCGGCAGGTCGTGTCCACACGAAGTGGCCCTCGGTGAGGGCTGGGCCCTTACCTGCTGGGCTCCCCTGGCTAGGCCAGAGGTTAGGAAGTGGGTCTCCTTCCAGGGTGTATACAAGGGGGGCAGCAAGACTTGTTCTCAGAAGCACTGCGGCTCCTGCCTCAGCTCGGGAGGACCTAGCAGCCAGGACCCAGGCCTCAGGCTCAGGCTGGGAGGTACCAGTCCTGAGGGGGTAGGGCTAGACCCTCCAGGCCGGAGGTGCTGGCATGAGGGGCTACACTGCCCAGGCAGATAAGGGACAAAGGCAGGAACTGGGCCAGGCTTGACCTTGTTGCCCGCCCATCCGCCTGGGCACCCTGACCAGAGCTAGAGGCCAGAGGCTGTGAGGGAAAGGGGGCCTCAGTCAGACTGGGGGGGCATCTAGGGCCCATCTCCTGAGCAGCGATTGGCAGCCAAGGTCAGGCAGAAGTGAGGGGTCAAATGGGGACATTCCCAGGAGGAGGCGAGGTATTCTCTGATTTCCGGCTTGTGAGAGGACTTGGGTGTCTGGGGCTGGAGAACCCGGACAGCAGGGGCTCAGCCAAGGCAAGGCCTGGAGGCCTCTCCACCTGAGTCATGGCCAAGTCTTGGAGGAAGAGTTCTTACTCCCCTGGTCCCCCCGTGCATACCCTGGGCTCCAGGGTACCACCTCCTCCCAGGGCAGCAGCAGGGAGGTGCCCAGGCCCTGCCAGGCCCTTTGTTCAGCTTGGGGAATGTTTCTTTTTTGCCGGGAAGCCGCCCCCAACACGCTGCTGCTGCCTGGGTTGGCTTTGGCGGGAACTTGGGGCCAGAACATGTCTGGTGGGGAAGAGAGGTCCTGTGATGACGTGTGGGGTCTGGGCTACTGGGGAGACTGAGGCAGGAGTCGAGAGAAGGAGCCGATGGGCCCCCCAAGGCCTGAGGAGGGTCTGCCTAGGCTTCCTGCAGGGAAGAAGGCCCAGAGGGGCCCAGGGGCTCCCCAGGTCACACAGGAGCAGGACTGAGATTGAGCCTGACTCTGCCCAGTGCCTGAGGATGTCCTAGGACTGAGCTGAGAGGCCTGGAGCTGGGGGGCTGTAGGCACTGCCCCCTCCTGCTCTGGGACCCCACAGCACCATGTTCGGCCCTCCCAGGCCCCGTTCCCAAGGAGAGGGCAGGCTCCTGGTGCCCGCCTGCAGAAGTCATGGAATCGGTTTGCTTATTTCCAGGTTTAGTCCCGCCCTCTCCCAGCAGATCGGGAACCAGGGCCTAGAGAGAAGGGGCTCCATACCCAGAGCAGCCCTGGGCCCCGGGCCCCCTGACTCCAGGGACCACTGGCTGCTCAGCAAGGTGAGGGGTGGATGGGTGAGCACTGCTTACTGCCCACCACCACCTCTGCCCGACCTCTGAACCTCTGGGGCCATTGGCCCAGGACAGTACCACCATGTGGCATCAGAGGACCGAGTCGCCAGATCGCCTCCTCAGGAAATGACATGGTCGTAGGTTCAGGGGCTCACTTGCTTGACCCCTGAAGATGGTGGATGTGAGCTGAGGTGGAAATGGCATGGGGTGGCATTGTCGCCCACACCCTGGCCTGGCTGCAGGGGTGAGGCAGCGCTGGAGAGCTAGAGGACCTACTTCTGCCCCCCAGGGGTTCCCTGGGCAGCCAGACTGCAAGGCAGTAGTGTATATGGAATGGGGAGGAGCTGGGGGCCAAGAGTGGCACCAGCAGGCTGGGCAGCGGTCAGGTGGCTTTGACAGCTACAGTGGAGCTTGGAGCCAGCAGGCCAGGGAGGGGTGGCTGTTCCAGGACTAACCAGGATGAGGGAGGAAGGAAGACCCAAGTGTGAACTCGAGCCCAGATCTCTGCATCTGGAATCGCAGTTTCCTGGAAGTGGGAGCTGAGCTGCCTTACTCCTGGGGGTGGGGGTGCGGGGCCTCAGACGTGGCCACTTCAGGAGTCGGGAGGTCCGAGGGGCTGCTTGGCCTTGGAGAGCGTCGAGACAACAGGCAACTTGTGCTTGCCCGAGAACCTGCCTGAGGCCAGGCCTGCGGCTGGGGCCTTCACTGTGGCCCTTCCAGATCCAGTCAAGCTTTGGCTGGGGCTGCCACTGGCTGGGGGGGCGGGGCCACGGCCCCGGCGCCGGGTTCCCTG